AAATAAGTTGACATTGGTCTGGTTATAAATAAATGAAAATGTTCTTAACAGGGTTGTTTCTTCATGAAAAACACCTCCATGGTTTTCTAGAGGTGGAAGGGGAGATTTTTCTGTGTTCTGATCCTCCACAGAACCCTTCTGTATAGTTATCATTCTATTCCTCTGCTGGAACACACCATGTCCAAAGCAATTTATAAAAGAAAACATTAAATTGGGCTTACAGCTCCAGAAGGTTGGAGTCCACGATGGTTCGGTAAACCCATGGCAGAAGAAAAGCTGAGAGTTCACACTGTGAACCTCAAGCAGGAGGTAGAAAGCACACTGGGCATGGTGAGAGGCTTGGGAGCCTCAAAGCCCACCCCCATGAGACTCCTCCTTCAAAAGACCATGCCTCTACTCCTTCCCAAACAGTTCTACCAAATGGGGGAACAAAGCAGTCGACTACATGAGTCTATGGGCACCATTCTCATTTAACAGCCAACTGTTTCTTAAATACTGAGATCGACTTTTTATCTCACCACACTCCCCTCTATCGTTAAGTGAGACTGTCATGTTTCAAACATACAAACATACAATGGTACGGAATGAACAGTCCTATTTCTCATAAAAAGAATCAGAGCATAACAAGGAATGAACAGGCCAAAGCAAGACCAAAATTCAGCACAGCAAACATCAAATATTGTAGTACCTTGTCAAGCATCGTGAGATCGTGATGAACTTACCTGGACTCCAAAGGGCTTAGGTATTCCCTTTACTCCAGCTCTGTCAGCTGCAGCGCACACAACCTCTCTTTTGGGGCAGCTCACCAAATTCCTACAGCTTTCTCATACAATGCCACCATGGTCCTCATATTTCCAGCCTCCTATGTATGGATTGCTATTTCACTTCATTGAAAGTAGGTTAGAGGGACTGGAAAGATTGCTCAGTGGTTAAGAGAACTGGCATCTCTTCCTACAGTCCAGGGTTCCATTCCTAGCACCCACATGACAGCTCAAAATTGTCTCTAAGGACAATTCCACAGGAACCATACAACTAAATAATTGGGTATAAACTGGTACATTACATTGATTTGGTTTATAATCTCATTGAATTATACCAATGAGAGGTTTGTGGAGCATATTTTACATTTCAAATTTAAAAGTTAATTCTGGAGTCAAATATCCCTGACCATGATCTAGTAATATACATTTAATTAATGCAAAATACATGTTCCCTTACAAAAAGTCTTATCAAGGTTATTTTTCACTTAAAAGAGTACTAAGAGCATTATGAACAAGGAAATTAAAATATATTAATGTAGACAATTCTCATGATAAAGATGGGCATTACTTGGCAAATAATTGAAAATCTACAGTACAGATGCAGTTAGCACCCAGGGTTAGAAAGTGAGACTATGTCCCAAAACACACTCACTCCAAAAATCTCTACTTAAAGGTCAGGCCTGAGAAGATGGGTTAGCAGACAAAGTACTCACCTGGCAACTGAGAACCTGAGTTGTTATACGTTAAATTCTCCATTATAAAGCCAGTTGCAACATTGCATTCTTATAATCCAATGCTTTTAAGGCAACATAGGAGGCAGAGAGGAGAAATCCTACAATCCTATGTGCATTTGATAGTAAACTAGAGACCCTGTCTCACACATGATGAAGAGACAGGACCAACACTGAAGGTTGTCCTCTGACTTTTCCACCCATCCCATGGCACACATGAACATCTTCCACACCCACACAGAAATGAGCACATACATAAAGCAACCATAAGTGAATAAATAATAAAATTACAAATTGGATGATGTGGCACACATCTTCTTTTTCAGTACCTGGAGTCAGAGGCAGGCAGTTTTAGGCCAGCTTGGGCTACATTTTAAGTTCCAGGAAAGCCAGAGCAACATAGAAAGGCCCTCTGTTGAAATAAAATAAAATTCCAACTCCAATTTGTATTGATGCATTCTGAAATACTTTTCCAAAATGCAACAAAGTGTCCCAGCTTAACTTTGGCAGAGGTCCCTATGAACACCTAGTTTGTTACAAAACAGCATGGGGCTGTGTCTCTGACTCTTCAATCTTTGTACAGAACTGTTGTTTTTGTCCAATCATTCTCAAGTCTCATTAAATAGCTTTAGAAGAGCCCACTTGAGCGAGAAATAGGTGGACAAGCCTATAATAGTACCACACTAGAGAGAGGGGCAGGAAACTGCTGTCAGTTTGAGGAAATGCAGAGGATGATTGATTGATAAAATAAAGTACTGATTGGTCAGTAGCCAGGCAAGAAGTAGAGGCAGGTCAAGGAGAATTCTGAGGAGTGGAAGGCTGAGGCAGAGAGACGCTGCCAGCCACCATGATGAGAAGCAGATGTTAATATACTGGTAAGCCATGAGCTATGTGGCAACATTTAGATGAAGAGAAATGGGTTGATTTAAGATATAAGAATAGTTAGCAAGAAGCTTGCCACAGCCATACAGTTTATAAGTAATATAAGTCTCTGTGTGTTTACTTGGTTCGGTCTGAGTGGCTGTGGGACTGGTTTGTGAGAGAGATTTGACCATGGGCCAGGCAGGACTGGAAAAAACTTCAGCTACAGGGAAAGCCTATGCTATCTAGTCACACACACTCACATACGCACACATGCACACACACACAATGCAAAAGAAGATCCTTTATGAATAATAAAGAGCACTGGAGTTTCAGGACAATATCTCTTAAATCCTTTTGAAGTATCAACCACTGGTCCCTGTCAAATCATTCTTAGAAATAAATATATCTGAGCATAGTAGCAGAGCCAGGGATCCCTCCATGAATTTAAACCAGCTTGATATACATAGTGATTATGATAGTAAGACATGTCCAGTAAAACATGCACATGTGTGCATGCGCACGTGTTTGCGCATGCATGCACACACATACACACACACACAAGCACACACACTCACAGAAACACTACAATCTCCAGGTGTGTCTGTGTTGAGTATTTCCACACAGGTTTAATGATGCAGAGAGACTTCTGGAATTTGTAGTCACAATCCTACTGATTAAAGAATAATTAATGCTGAAACCAGCTAAGCACTAGTTTTAGTTTCTCCTTGTTTAGTGAATGCAAACCCACTCCTGTTGCCAAAAGTCTCTGTATTGAATAGATAATCTAGATTCTTTGAATCTTACTTAAATGTGATTTTAACTGCATCTATATTTCAAAGTTTTAAGGACATATTAGAAAGAAAAGTGAGAGCTGAGAAGCTGCCAAAAGGAACTCTGAGTGAATTGAATTATAGAATTTGTGTTGATTATTGTTTTCATTGTCCTTTGGTGGAGATGAAAAGGAAGAAGTGTTTCATTGTAGAAGTTTCAGTGGCATACCACTCATATTCCAGGCATCTCAGTATTTGATACCCTGTTCTTGACACCGTTTGGTGGTTTATGTGGTTTGACCTTCCTGGAGGAAGTACGTCATTGGTTGGAACTTAGGGTTTCAAAACCCATGAACCATTTCCAGTGTTCTCTCTCTGCTTCATGTTTGCTGTCCAAGACAAGAACCTTAGTCTCAGATTCCTGTTTTAGTTTTAGGTACAGCTGATCATAAGATAGTGCCAATTGTTTGTCCTTAGATAGTGCTGAGAACAAGAATCAAACAAAAGAAAGCTGAATAGAAACTGTGTATAAGATAATATAATAATTTAGTCCTTAGAGAAAACACAAGGCAGTCTTCATATATAATACATAGCATCACTGCTTTTTTTTTTTTGTTGTTGTTGTTGTTGTTGTTTTCTTAGACAGGGTTTCTCTGTGTAGCTTTGCGCCTTTCCTGGAACTTGCTTTGTAGACCAGGCTAGCCTCGAACTCACAGAGATTCAACTGCCTCTGCCTCCTGAGTGCTGGGATTAAAGTCATGTGCCATCATCACCCGGCACTTTTGGTTTTTAATGGGTGTATGTAGGAAATACAAAGAACCAGCAAACACATGACAAGACATCATCGAATAGATGTGTACAGCATTCAGTACAGCACAACTATGAAATCCCTCTTAAAACTATGATGCTCCAGCTTAGTATAAAGAGATCTTTACCTAAAGGATTTACTCTATCCTCTCTCCATAGATGCACATCCCATTAGCACATGTATAGACATGTGACCACTATACTTAAAAGCTGAACAAACAATTGCATCCTAGCATCTTATTCTGTAACAGGCCTGGTTTACATACTACTTATCTTTGGGTGTTTTAGAGGAAGACACCCCCCCCACACACACACACCACCATTTAATTCCACTTTGTATGATTTACTATGACCAAAGCATTGCCAAATTTTTTGTATCACCAATTCTACTCTTCTATATCACAGCGCAGTAGAGGAGTGCTACCCAGTACATGAGATGCCATTTGTAATCTCCACAAAATTAACTCCAAATGGATCTTACACATCAATGTCAAATTCAAAGTGCAGAACTCCTAGAAGATACTCGAGAAACTATGCCTCTCTCAGTTTTGCAACCTGTCTAAGCCTTGGGAGGTTTCTCTAAGGCCCGGATGTATAAGGGAGGGGCGGGGATGGGGGGGCGGGGAGAGTTCCTTCTCTAAAACTAGGAATATGCTTGGGGGAGCTGGTAAAAGTCTGGGACCAGGGCCTTTGGGAAGGGTTTCTTCAGATCCTGAGAGCCATCTCTTTCCACACCTGGGGCTGTGGTAATCCCTCCCAGCCTCTGTGGACTTTTTTTAAATAATGTTCTAGAGATACCTTGTGTTCCTCTTGTGCAATATTGTCAGATTAGCCTCCTTCTGAAAATGTATGCTTTCTTTTAAAACTGAACGCATTGTTTTATATTAACTAGAGACTTGCTGTGGAATTTGGCTCAAATCTCCAGCCAATCTGGGATAGGTTTGTGCTTCAGGTGGAAGAAGCCAGGGCTGGGAACCACTGGACTGTTTCCCTTCAGCTTACCCGGTCCTGTCACTCAGGGCTCACTAGCCAATCAGGGAGTCGAGCGGACTCACCAGTCAGATGGGAGTGTTCTTCCTCCTGGCGCTAGGGTTCTGGTTCAGCTCTTATGATGAGGAAGTAGGAAGTTGGCCTCTTGTGCTGTACCCCGTGCGCTCTGCTGTGGGTTGAGTACTTGGCAGCTGCGCCATGGTGAGCAAGGGGCTTCTGTTCCCAGACCGGGAGGAGTGGCCGGCCACGGTGAGCAAGGGGCTGCTTTCCCCAGACTCGGATGAGCGGCCGGCTGAGCCGGAGCCGGGTGGTGGGTCCTCCCGAAGAGGGTGGGAGCCAGTGGCCAGAGGCAGAATTCAGTGTGGTCCTGCCTGATCCTGTGCGAGCCTGGAAGTCCCACATGTTCCTTCCTGGTCCTGTGTGTCACGCGTGTATTCCTTTGTGATCCTGCGTGTCCTACGTGGCCCTTGCAACTCCTTGGGCTGGGGCTGAAGCCTCTGAATAACTTCTCTCCGTGGGCAGAGCATCTGTGTCTGTGCAGAGCATTGGGAACAAGACTTAGAAATACCCTTGTTGATGTCACTGTGAAGTGCTGGGGCCTGTAATGCTTGTATTGTCACCTTGGAAGGCAGATTTGCCAAACTCAGAAAGCCCTGGTCTCTGTAGAATCTTTAAGCAGTTCTGCATTTTCAACATTTAGGTTTAGGATCCATCTGTAGTTAATTTTGTGGAGCTGGTAAAGGACAAGTCCTGTGTAGAGTAGCACTCCACTGCTAAACTGTGATGTAGAAGAGTAGAATTGATGGTAATAGAATTGATGGTAAAATGATTTACCCATTTTTAGGAGACATTAAGTCACAAAGTAGAATTAAGCTAAGGGAGGGCTGTCTCTCAGATATCCCTAAGATATGTATTATGCTAACCGTGCCTTTTAGAGATTAATATGATAAGATGTAAATACTTGTTCCCCAGGACTAACCAGCCATCTGGGAACATTCCCATAACAAAGGAGAAAATGTAATTTACAACCAGTCAAAAGGGTCCCCCCATTCCCTGCCCCCTGTCAAAGAACAGGCCTCTAACATGCTGCTCACAGGGTCACAACCAACATTAAGTCCTGGTGTGCTGCCATCATAGTCTAGAACAGCTGCATTTCCAGTCTTTTTGAACAGTGTTTTTGAGTCAAATTCTCTGATGTAGATTGAGGACTTGAATCCTGTCTGTATCCCCACAGAGCATTCCCCTCACTACTGTCCTGACCAAGCACCATGAATTCTTTTTTTTTTTTTTTTTTTTTTTTTGGTTTCCCGAGACAGAGTTTCTCTGTATAGCTTTGTGCCTTTCCTAGAACTCCCTCTGTAGGTCAAGGAGGCCTCGAACTCACAGAGATACACCTGCCTCTGTCTCCCGAGTGCTGGGATTAAAGGCGTGCGCCACCACTGCCCAGCCAGCACCATGAATTCTTGTATTGCAGGTCTGTAGCACCACAGAGTTCTAAAGTAACCACTTTGAGTCACATGGTGGACTGTCCATTGCAGTAACAGGAAAGTATTTGTGTGTGGATCATGGCATCTCCCTTAAGACCAGAAGAGGAGGAGGAACAGTGTCCTGTGTATACTGCATGGGGAAACAGGCTAGGCAATAGCTAGACCATGGGCTGGAGTTTAAGGCAGTGAGCTGCAGAGGTCTCCATCATAAAAAAGGACCCGCTGGGCAGGGGGAGTGACTTTCTGTGTAATTTAACTCCTGGTATTATTCCTTCCATGTGAATGAAGATAGACAGAATTGGTGGATGTACAATTTAGGGAGGGTAACTTGAAGTACTGAGTCTTCAGTTTCCAGTTAGGGAACTCTCCTATGCAGATATGTACAATCCTGGTTGACACAGTTAAGTCAGCTCAGAGGTTTGAGACACAGGCCATTGGCTTTAACTCCATGTGTCAGCTTATAGCACCCAGCAGCTGACACTTTACATGGGAAAGTCATGCAGTGTCTTATGAATGGCATTCTCTCTAGCAGGGAAGTGCCTACTCTGTTGCAAAATCAGTACTGCTAAGTGTTCTTCCAGTTATTTCTATCATTTTAAAAAGTCAATTAGTGGTACCATTTTTTAAATTTCACTTTCTTTAAATGTATTATAGCTCTAATCTGTTTTCCAATGTTTCCTATCCATTAAGAATTTCTTTCCGCCGGGCGGTGGTGGCGCACGCCTTTAATCCCAGCACTCGGGAGGCAGAGCCAGGTGGATCTCTGTGAGTTCGAGGCCAGCCTGGACTAGTTCCAGGAAAGGCGCAAAGCTACACAGAGACACCCTGTCTCGAAAAACCAAAAAAAAAAAAAAAAGAATTTCTTTCCAATTTTTCTTAGGTGCTATTTATTTATTTATATACCTTTATAGAGTAGTGGTTCTCAGCATGAAGGGTAGAGGCTCCCTTTAACAGCAGTGGTCTTAGACCATTGGAATACACACATATTTTTATTATAATTTATAACAGTAGCAAAAATTTTAGGTATGAAGTAGCAGTGAAAATAATTTTATAGTTGGGTTCACCACCTGATAAAAGACTGTATTAAAGTATGACAGAATTAGGAAGGTTGGTAACCACTGGTTTAGACCAGTGTCCCCTGTAGCTCAAGTTTGTCTCACACTACATAATTGAGAATTTCTTGGAATACCACATCCTGCCTCTGCTGCCCAGTGCTGGGAAGACAGTCCTGCAAATCCTTCCAGGATGGGCCTTGACTGGTCAGTGAGATGGAAAATAGACCAGTGAATGAGTGTCCTCAACCTCTCTAGATTTCATTGTGAAATTACAGATGAAGTGGGCCCTGTGTAAGAATTGAGTTCACTGACCCACAGTAAAGCCGGTGTAGTCACAGCCCAGAAAGGGTTGGCAAGAAGGAGGTGAAAGCTTTCCTGCTGTGACAGGAGTTGACAGTAACAATGAGTAGTGAGGTCATCGATTTTAGACATTCCATAAATGTCCTGACTGACCATTTCTCTTTTTCACAGACCAGACAATCAAGAATCTGGATAAAGAACTGAATTTTTATGAAACAAAATTACATTAGTTACACCAGTTCAACCTAAATAGAAGAACTGGATAAAATGGTGTGGCCCTGCCTAATGTGAATCTTTTCCAGGTTAAGATGTACAGCCTGGGAGAAATGCATGAGTAGTACTTAGTGTGCTCTAGTACACATCCCTAGTCTCTGGAGCACATGGCCATAAAGCCTGTTTCAACTTTCCAACATAATTTTATGGGATTATTATTTCCTCATTTCCACTATCTCTTTCCTGGCTCCAAGCCCTCCCATAGACCCTTCATTGTGTTCTAATCCATGACCTGTTTCTGCTTCCACAACAGTTACTGTATGAATGTGACCTTTGCTTTGCGTCAGGACCTCCCAGCTCTGAAGCAAAGGTTTGGCTTCACTGGGCATTGAGTGTGTAATGGAATGTGCATGCAAAGGACCCAGTACCTTGAAAGAGGAATAGGAAGTGCTCTAGAGAATGAAATATTCTCTAAACTACAAGGTTCTCAGACTAGATACCTATCCAACCCTAGTGTGGAAGGGCAGAGCTGGGAAGGCTTGTGCTGTTTGAGTCATTGGCTCTCTGCTCACCCAGTAGGGTAACTGCTAATGTCCTGAGATACAACTGGGTGGTCCTAACTAATGCAGAGCTTTGGGAAGACTTAGCCATCAGTAGCACCAGTGGAAGGTGACTTCCAAGTTCTCTTTGGGATTCTCCTCTGCTTCTGCTATAGGGAGCTCTAAGGAATACCATAGCTATGCCATGGTGAATGTGGGGGTCCACTGTCCAGGACGAGCAGGTTGGTTGAGCTGTCAGAGTCTGAACTGCTGGGACTGGGATAGACCATGAGCCAGACTGTGTTTCTGTTAGTCCCTGTAGTAACCTGGGCAGTGGCCCTTTTCCTCTGATCCTTACTGATCCAGGGAGTGTGGATTCCCTGGGGAGGAGAAGGCTCTGCCACCCTGGCATGGGAGGCTATGATGCTTGTAATATCACTGTCCAGTGTGCACACACAGGCTTTGCTTCTGTGACAGTGGGAATCTGGGAAGACAGATTGGAAAACTGAAGGTCTGGTTTCTACAAGTTCTGGATGTTACTTTCCCCTTTCAGCTTTGTCTTATAAATGTTACAGACAGTTTAGAAAATGGTAGAAAGGGGGTGATGGAGATCATCCTTCAGCAATACATGATTAGAATGCTTTTAGCTTTCTGTTACTGCCAGCCACCATGGTGTGATTCAGTGAAGGTCAGTTTCAGGGGACAAAAGGAAGCTGTGAGCTACAGAGGTATCACAGGTTGCGTGGTTTTAGGCAGGTGGATAGGGCAGAATTCACATCTTGTGACATTATGTGGTTAGACATTAAATTATTCTTCTACAGTGTTTTCTGTGTGGGCATCACTGGGGCTGGGTTTGCCTGAAAACACAAGGGAGCATGAAGGCTGCAGAGCTATAGCAGGGTCTGCAGGAGATCACCTCCCTTTGCAGAGAGAGCTCTAGAACATGGGGCCTCTCTTAGAGAAATATCAGTAGCTAGAGGGTCAGAAACACAATTTAAGGTCACTTTGAGTTGAAAGTCATGAAATCTGTGTTTATTTAATTTCTATACACATAGAGTCATAGGCAGCTGCCTGCCTTTCATCTTGCCTTAAAAGCACTGGACTATAGGCATGCACTGTTGCAACTGGCTTTATAATGCAGAAATAAAGGGGTAGTTGCAAGATGAGTACTGTATCTGTTAACCCACTTTGTGTGTGTGTGTGTGTGTGTGTGTGTGTGTGTGTGTGTGGTCTGATTGTTCTTTATTTTATATCTAGAATCCACCTATGAATGAGTACAAACCATAACTGTCTTTCTGGGTTTGGGTTACCTCACTCAGGATGATTTTTTCTAGTTCCATCCATTTGCCTGCAAATTTCATGCTTTCATTGTTTTTCTCTGCTGAG